TATATATATATATATATATATATGTTGAGAATACAACAGTGAGGGCATGTGCTAGAAATCAGTGCACTAAGGATATGAAATAGATATCAATGTTTTACACAATGTGTGAACACCAGTGTGAACTTTTCAGATACTTTCACCCTGGGTCTCTGTATCCCATTCTTAGCACCTCAGTCCCACTCTCTGCTAGTCGCAGGCTTCCTGATACCCCTTCAATACAGATTGAGTATCCCTAGTCCAAAAATTCCAAATCCAAAGTGCTAAAAAATCCAAAAGTTTCTGAGTCCTGACGTGACTCCACAAGTGGAAAATTCCACATGTGAGTACTTAATACAAACTTCATTTCATGTGCAAAACTATGAAAAATATTGCTCAAAATTACCTTTAGCCTGTGTCTATAAGGTGTATATGAAACTGGTGTTGTGATGTATATGTTTTCTGTTTTTGTTCCTGGCTCATAACTCCCACAGCCCTTGTTATGGATGTGAGCCGCCTTGCCTGGTTAATTTTTTTTTTTTTTTTTTTGAGACGGAGTCTTGCTCTGTTGCCCAGGCTGGAGTGCAGTGGCCGGATCTCGGCTCACCGCAACCTCTGCTTCCCAAGCATGATTCTCCTGGCTCACCCTGCTGAGTAGCTGGGATTACAGGTTCCTGCCACCATGCCCGGCTAATTTTGTATTTTTAGTGGAGATGGGGTTTCACCATGTTGGCCAGGATGGTCTTGATCTCCTGACCTCGTGATCCACCCACCTCAGCCTTCCAAAGTGGTGGGATTACAGGTGTGGGACCTGTCTCTTATACACATCTAGATGTGTATAAGAGACAGGTATATGAAACTGGTGTTGTGATGTATATGTTTTCTGTTTTTGTTCCTGGCTCATAACTCCCACAGCCCTTGTTATGGATGTGAGCCGCCTTGCCTGGTTAATTTTTTTTTTTTTTTTTTTGAGACGGAGTCTTGCTCTGTTGCCCAGGCTGGAGTGCAGTGGCAAGATCTCAGCTCTCACCCTGCTGAGTAGCTGGGACTACAGGTGTACACTATGACGCCCAACTAATTTTTTGTTTTTTTTCTTTGAGATGGAGTCTCACTCTGTTGCCCAGGCTGGAGTGCAGTGGCGTGATCTCTGCTCACTGCAAGCTCCACCTCCCGGCTTCAAATGATTCTCCTGGCTCACCCTGCTGAGTAGCTGGGATTACAGGTTCCTGCCACCATGCCCGGCTAATTTTGTATTTTTAGTGGAGATGGGGTTTCACCATGTTGGCCAGGATGGTCTTGATCTCCTGACCTCGTGATCCACCCACCTCAGCCTTCCAAAGTGGTGGGATTACAGGCGTGAGCCCCCGCGTCCAGCCAGCCTTTTTTTTAACCTTTGTGTCAAAATGATAGTTCATGTTCCTCTTGTTAAAACATGTAGGCCGAGCACGGTGGCTCATGCCTGTAATCCCAGCATTTTGGGAGGCCGAGGCAGATGGATCACCTGAGGTCAGGAGTTCAAGACCATCCTGGCCAACATGGTGAAACCTCATCTCTATTTAAAATACAAAAATTGCCAGGTGTGGTAGCTCACACCTGTAATCCCAGCACTTTGGGAGGCCGAGGCGGGCAGATCAGGAGGTCAGGAAATCGAGACCATCCTGGCTAACACGGTGAAACCCTGTCTCTACTGAAAAATAGAAAACATTAGATGGGCGTGGTGGTGGACGCCTGTAGTCCCAGGTACTCGGGAGGCTGAGGCAGGAGAATGGCGTGAACCCGGAAGGCGGAGCTTGCAATGAGCTGAGATCATGCCACTGCACTCCAGCCTGGGCAACAGAGTGAGACACTGTCTCAAAAAAGAAAAAAAAAACAAACAAAAATTATCCGGGCATGGATACGGGCACCTGTAATCCCAGCTACTCGGTAGGCTGAGGCAGGCAAATCTCTTGAACCTGGGAGGTGGAGGTTGCAGTGAGCCAAGATCACACCATTGTACTCCAGCCTGGGCAACAAGAGTGAAATTCCATCTCAAAAACAAACAAACAAACAAAAAAAAACCATGCAGTTTGAGTACTGTGTTTTTGGTGTTGTCCAAGGAAAATTAAAAACCTGTAGTGTGAATAATATATGTTTTTCATTTGAAATCTTGTGAATGTATTAAATATATAGCTCTTAAGAGACTGTGAAGTTCCTATTTTAAGGTTTTTTTTTTTGTTTTTTTTTTGTTTTTTTAAAGCTGTTCTTTAATACATTAAATGGTGCTGAGTAAAGGAAATAGGCAAGGTGTGTTGTGTGGTGTTTTAACCAGGCACTTCTCTCTCAGAGAGTTTTGAAACCTGTTTACATAAAGGCCCAGGATGAGAAGGAGATCCAGACATAAGCCACCAGCCTCATTCCAAGTCTCTTCTCTTTCCAACCCTGGATTTTGTTTTTTACTTAACATTGTTTCTTTTAGCTTTATTTTTCTTATAAAAGAAATATATCACTATACAAAATTAAACACTACAGAAAAATATTAAGAAGAAAAACATTTACCTCAGAAACAAAGTTTTTTCCCATGAAAACAGGACCCAAAAAGGTAAGTGGTTAGTATTGCACCAGCAATTAATTATGTTGAGAATAAGGCCAGGTGAGGTGGCTCACGCCTGTAATCCCTGCACTTTGGGAGGCCAAGGCGGGCAGATCATCTGAGATCAGGAGTTCGAGACCAGCCTGGCCAACATGGTGAAACCCTATCTCTACTAAAAATAAAAAAAACAGCCGGGTGCGGTGGCTCAAGCCTGTAATCCCAGCACTTTGGGAGGCTGAGACGGGCGGATCACAAGGTCAGGAGATCGAGACCATCCTGGCTAACACGGTGAAACCCCGTCTCTACTAAAAAATACAAAAAACTAGCCGGGC